GTACCTTAGCATCCACATCTTATCTTTTTGAAAAGCCCATCACCCCCAAATCTTTCATTCTTCAAAACTGTTGGTATTTCCTCCTCCAGAAAGTCTTTCATGATTCCTCTATTCTTACTGACAGTCCCTACTCTAGGTTTTCCCAGAATCATAGGCACTGTACTATGAAGGCACGCATCACACTGTTCCACAATCAGTGATTTAACAGTCTGTTCACTCCTACTAGCATATAAGCAACCAGACAGAACCAAGGGAGAGGATGAAGTGAAGAGCAACGGAGGGAGCATGGGAAAGCCTAGCAGGAAAGAAAGGCATCTAAAAGAAAAGTTTCAGCCTTGAGGTAATGAAGAAGACAGCCAAAATGTCTGTCCCAGAGCTAAAGGAGCCATTTGGAAACTTAAAATAAGCAAAAGAACCCTACGTCTTCAATTAGTCAAAGTAACCAAGCCCTGAAAGGGGACAGATGGAAGAATGGCCTTTGTTTGCCCTTTCTGGTTCTTACCCCTCTTCCAGGGATGGGAAGAATCTATTCCTGGTTAATGAAGAAACAGTTCCATCAAGAGTAAGAGAGAGATAATAAGCAGAGAAAGAAAAAGAAAACATGCTTGGCAACGCAGATGCTGGAATCTGAGATGTTAATGGCTTATAAGGGGTAAGAACTTCAGGCAAAAAGAAGAACAGTAAGAACCCTAGAGCAGGGGTCCCCAAGTCCCAGGTCACACACTGGTACCAGTCCATGGCCTGTCAGGAACCAGGCTGCACAAGGTGAGCGGCTGGCAAGCAAAGCTTCATCTGTATTTACAGCTGCCATTCCCCATCACTCACATTACCGCCTGAGCTCTGCCTCCTGTCACACCAGCAGCAGCATTAGATTCTCATCGGAGCCTGAACCGTACTGTGAACTGCACATGTGACAGATCTAGGCTGCACAATCCTTAGAGAACCTAATGCCTGATGATCTCAAGTGAAGCTGAGGCAGTGATACTAGCGCTGGGGAGCGGCTGCAAATACAGATTAGCATTAGCAATGAGGTTTGACTGCACAGAGACCATCACAAATCAATTGCTTGAAGAGTCATATAAAAACCCTATCAGTGAATGGTGAGTTGATGTACTTCAATTGCACACCTGCATCTGATGGCCGGCTTTAAGTCAGAATCTGAAACTTGGTCTGTTTGTGACCTGCCCATTATTTTATTTACCACTTCCATCTACATCTCTCTCTCTTTCTAATGGTGAGTCGTGTACTTGTTTCATTATGTATTACAATGCAATAATAACAGAAATAAAGTGGACAATAAATGTTGAGGCTTGAATCATCCCAAAACAAAACTGCTCCCTGGTGCCAGAAGGTTGGGGACTGCTGCCTCACAGCCTCCATGTCCCAGTCCCACTTTCCATGCTCTCCTTAAGAAATGAAGAAAGGAGAGCAATGAGCTTCATTTACTCTAACCTGTCACTACTTAATTCCAGAAGGACAGTATCTAGAACACAGAGAGAGAGAGAGAGAGGGAGACAGACAGACAGAGAGAGAGAGAAGGAGACAGACACACATAGAGAGAAATAGCAGGGAAGGGGTCTTAAAAGTGTTACGGCTATAAGAATTACTTTGGATTGCCACAATCCCCCCAAAAGGATGCTATGGATGACAGTTGGACAACAGACTAAAAATTCTGCCCAGGGAGCACATGACAGTTACTCTAACAGCTACCACACACCAGTTCTACCACCCTAGGGACAGGTACAGTTTACAGAAACTTGGTTTTAGACATTCCTGTCACATTGTAAAATTGGTGGCAGAAGGAGGCAATTCCCAGTGTCATCTCATCTGACCTCTTACCGAATAAGAAGAAAAACTATACTTATCTGTATTCATTCCAACACGCACTAATTCACTCTACAAACCAATGTGGGTATAGACTACATTAGGCACTTGGAAGGGCCTTGAGAGCAGAGAGGATCCCTGGTCCATGGAGCACACAACCTCATGAGAAAATAATAAGCCTTAAATATACTACTGCCTAAGTGCAGTGACTGGGGAGAAGCACCATACACAGGTATGAGGAATCAAGAAAGGCAAAGGCAGGCAAAAGAAAATGATAACTAGAATGAAATTCAAAGTATGAGAGATGGGCTACTAAAAACAAATATTCTAGACAAAGTGAAAGCATGTACGAAGAGCAGCAGGCAATAGCAAATTTTAAGAAAACAAACATTCAGAAAGGCTAATGCAAAAAATACTTGCAGGAAAGGCAGACAGGAGAAGCTGTGGAAAGATAGAGAAGGCTGGAGAAGAACGCAGTACAGGACCTTATTTAAAAAACCACATTTTGGACTTTAATTTTTAAAACATTTTTAAAACACTGACGAACTTTAAGCAAATAAATGATTTGACCACACTCATGCTTTTTACAGGCACACAGGCTGCAGTATGAGAAGTGAATTAAACAAAAGTAATCTGAATCAGAGATCAGTTAAGAAATGCATAAAGCCAATCAGGAGAACAACTACTTCAAGATAAAACAAAAAGCAAAAAATACAGGGAAATACTTAAGTATGATGACCAACAGTCTTGAAGAAAAGTATGTTTAGAAACAGCTACAGCACTGTTATACCCTAGGATTAAATCTACACATGCATCTTCCCTACCATCCTTTATCCCGTATCGATCCCAACCTCTTTTGTCAAATAAACAATCCTTCCCAACTATCCTAATTGCATCAACCAGCTGTCCAATATGGTAGTCACTGGCACATGGGAATATTTAAATTAATTAAAAGAAGGTACATATAAAGTTTAGTTCCTCAGTAGCAATGGGTGATTTTCAAGTGTTCATCAGCTACAGATGGCTAGTAGCTACTGAGTGTTCGGCATAGATAGAAACATTTCCATCTCCACAGAAAGGTCTACTGGACAGCGCTGGGCTACAGACATACTTAACCTGCCACTCACCTGGTAAGCCTATTTAAAACAACATTGAAGGCACCTGTGAAGGCAAACATGCTCACTGTCTCATGCCACTCCCTGTATATTAATAAGCACCCACAGTGCAGTGAAGAATCATGGTGTACAAACCACAAGACAGACTCTGTGTTTTGGCTCATTAATCCTCACTATGCTCTGAAGAAATAGAAACGCAGCAGGCATCACCCATGTTTTATAGGTGAGGACACCAAGACACAGAAATTAACCTGCCTGAAGCTATAAAGTCAATAATGAAGTCACAAATAAAAGCTGGATTCCCTAACGCCCTGACCAATGCTCCATTCATTAAAGTAGTCATGGCTGATTTAAGAACTCTAGGATGGAAACTATTCAGTTTCACCCGACCCAAGCAATGATCTGCTTTATCAAATGGCTTGCTACACCTACAGCAGGAGCTTATCTATTAGGTTCTTAAAGAACCTGTCTCTGTTAGGTCCATGTATATGGACACATACACATACAAACAAAAAAAAATCATAAAAAACAGAAGAATACATATATTTGTCTCCCCAATTATCTTATAACTTGTGATGAGAAATAAAAGAGATTAAACACATTTGCTGAAAGTAACAGCACCAGAGTATAGTGCATTCTTGCGTTATTAATTTGTGTTCCATTACGTTAAATGGTTACCTTTAAAAATTACAACCTAGAAGCTGTGCATTTTGTAATTCTTATTTGCCTCTGTAACCAAGGCAAGCTGACTTTCGTGTCCTCTTTTCAAACCTATGGAAGTAGCGGGGCAACGGCAAAGCCATTCTTGCATTTTCATTTCAACTACCTAATTAACTGAAAAGAGAATAATATACAGGGAGACATAAACCAAGTTCCAGATTAAAAATATCAAACCTGCGTACAGTATTGGCTTGTGACACTCTTGACAACAGCAATGTTTAAGTGCAGCTGCCAGTATTCACTAATGCATCTGTGTCCTAACATTGCAAAACAATTTACCTAGAGCCCCATGTGAATGATGTGAACATTCTAACAAATAAATCAACTGTATCTGCCCAACATCTGAATTCTTACACACTTTATCTGTTATCATACTAAATATACAGAAAACATATAAAATATTTTAAATAATTCATAATTAACTCCCTTTATAATAATTATTTTCTTATTAATAAGTATGAATCAATCTAGCCAGGCAGGGTAGCTCATGCCTGTAATTCCAGCAATTTGGGAGGTGGAGGTGAGAGGACTGTCTGAGACCAGGAGTTCGAGACCCACCTGGGCAACTTGGTGAGACCTCATCTCTATAATAAATCAAAAACAAACTAGCCATCATGGTGGCGTGTGCCTGGAGTTCCAGCTACTTGGAAGGCTGAGGCGGAAGGATCACCTGAGCCCAGCAGGTCAAGGCTCCGGTGGCTATGAGCGTGCCAATGCACTTTAGCCTGGATGACAGCGAGACTCCAACTCAAAAAAGAAAAAAAAAGTATGAATCAATCTATAGAATGTAAACACTAGCAAATTTGTCCCTAAAATGAAAGCTTCCAAAATTAATTAGACAATTGTTTCTGAGTTAAAAGTTCAGTTATCCCTTGGTATCCATGGGGCACTGGGGATACCGAAATGTAGATATTCCAGTCTTATATAAAATGGCATAGTATTTATACCTAATTTATGCATGTCCTTCCATATACTTTAAGTCATCTCTAGATTACTTATAATACCTGATACAATGTAAATGCTATGTAAATGTTTGTTATAATGCATTGTTTTATTTGTATCGTTTTATTGTCGTATTTTTTTAAACATTTTCAAATATTTTCAATTTGTAGTTGGCTGAATCCTCAGACTTGGAACCCACAGATATGGAGGACCAACTGTATCATAAAGGAAAAAGGGCATGAATGCTGGTTTTAAATACAGAAACTGATGATCACCTCCTATTTTAGTTGTGAAAGTAAAGAGAGAAAGCCATCAATTTGGGTATTAAACTCTTTGCCTCATCACTGATACAGGAATACAAGTCGATTTAAAAAACAGTTTTTAAGTTGAGCTACTTACACAGCATTCCTGGAGGCTCCATAGGAAAGTAGCAGCTTGACTATATCCACGTGCCCATTCCTGGCTGCATCGTGAAGTGGTGAGTCATTTTGGTACCCAGTGCTATTCACCAACGCCTTATGCTGGAGCAATAATTCCACTATCTTCAGGTGCCCATGATTGCAGGCTTCATGCTAATCATATTTTTTTTAAATGGATGAGAGATGTGATGAAAAAGAGCAATGGATATTATAATAACATCACAATTTAGAAAAACAGATGTAAATCTCAGTAAATTTAAAAGATTTCTACTGCCTCTATGTATTTGCAATTGGATAGGGTGTAAGAATAAGGTTGAGATAAATCCTCAATGAAAATCACGCCCTTGGGTCACATTCCTAGACTCAGTTCCTCTGACGTCTCTTTCTTTCGAGAAATCTGATTCCAGCGGCATGCAATGCTACAAGATGGAGCCTAATGTCAGTTACCTCCATTCATAAGGTAAATTCTGCAATATAGTGTAAATGGATTCCTAAATCTAAAGGTAGTTAGTCAAAAGGTAGCCAATATCTTGCCTGTCACAAATGAAAATCTAGAAAGAAAATAATCATTTTCTCAAACTTGGAGAAAACAAATTCTTCACACTAAAAGTAGTGTAAGCAACAGAGTATGACATATGTTCTACATAACATAACATATATAAGAACTATAAAACATTACAAAAATGAGTATGAAAACAAATAGAAAACTACCAATGGTGTCCATCCAGCATGATCCTTAACATTTGGGTCACTTCCATTTTGTAAGAGGTATTTCACAGAAGGTATGTCACCCTAGTAGAACAATGAAAATATAAAATTAAAAAACACTGAGGAGAGTAAAGAAGATATTAAGGTTTGGGATTTTTTTTAATTGTCCTCTTCAAGATAAAGTAAAACAAATATTTTTCTTTTACGGCTATTGTTTCATGAGCTAATAAACAATTATGAATCTATGAATGTTTTGAAGTATTGAGAAATATGGTCAACCTTAAAAACAGACTACAAAATCTCTATCAGCAACCCATATTCAGAATTCATTTCAAGATACCAAATAAGGGATACAGGTCAAAGATCATCTGATCATAATGGAATTTTTAAAGTCATCATTTCATTTGTGGAAAAAATCCTTTGTGCACATACATGAAAAGGGTTTCTAAGTATTGTTTAAAACAAACAAAACTGTGTAAATCCAAGAAGACTACTCATTGAAGCCAAAGTTAAAACTGCCCCAAACTACTCATTTAGTTTATATTCATTCACTTTATTTGCTCAAAGGAATTTTCTAGGCAGAAGCAGTTGCTCTGTTTAAAACGGCAGAAAAGAGATCAGTAGCAACTTATTCAAAATGACCCAAGGAGTCAGCATTTAATTTTTGACACCTGTCTGGTTCAAGAATAAAATCATCACCCATTATCAACTAACTCAACTATAGGAAATGGAGCTTCTAATAAAATCTATGATATATCCTTACACATCTCATACTAGACAAATGGTTTTCAATCTTTTTCTCTCTGTTTTCCCTATTCCAACACTCTGGAGATAGACACAATTTTGTATAAGCGATTCACTGATGTGCTGAAGGGAGAAGGAAGGTGAGGAAAAACAAAAAACACTATAATTTATTTTACAATTCACAACCTGTTTTTGAAGGAGATGAACAAGATGTGGGAGTAAGTGAATTAAAATGAGGCACAAAGCAATGAAAACAAACTAAGGGCAGACAATACTAATTCTACTTTCATATTAAGACACTTCAAATTATCAAATAGCACTAAAATTAAAGTCCCCTTCCAATTTTGAATGTTCTGTGTCTTGTGTGTCATGATCTAACTAAATCCTAATACAGGTGAAGAGACCTTAAAAGCTGTCTTTTGAAAGAAGAAATAAAATAGCTTTGAAGGTACGCTTCTCTCTGTTGCCAGCCTCCAGTGAAAGTGAACCCTGACAAAGGAGTAAAGTCTGGGGAACTAGTCTCAGGTAGTCTCTCCTCTCACTCTTCTTTTTGTTCCTATTCCCAAAGTGAGAAACATAATCCTCAAACTATATAAACCATAGTTTCATAAGTGTGTCCCTTAATCTAATGTGGAAAGAGCTAACATCTCTCTTTTACTTTTTTTGGTTTTGTTTTGAGTCGGAGTCTCACTCTGTCACCCAGGCTGGAGTGCAGTGGCACACTCCTGGCCACCGCAGCCTCGACCTGCTGGGCATAGGCGATCCTTCTGCCTCAGCCTTCCGAGTAGCTGGAACTACAGACACACACCAGCACACTCAGCTAATTTTTTTATTTATTGTAGAGATGAGGTCTTACCAAGTTGGCCAGGCTGGTCTCAAATTCGTGGGCTCAGGCAATCCTCTCACCTTGGCCTCCCAAAGTACGGGATTATAGGTGTAAGCCACCATGCCCAGCTATCTTTCACATTTAATGAAATATTATGTTAAGTATCAGTTAAGTCATAAAGTCTTCTTTTAAAAAATATTAGCTACAAAATAAGAGATACTACCCCTTTGCAAAACAATGTAAGGCTTTAAGAAAAAGGATAGCATTCATGCAATGAGACATAGGTAAAATTTTCTTAAAATTACATTACTGGCTAGGTGCAGTGAGTAGCTCATGCTTGTAATCCCAGCACTTTGGGAGGGCAAGGCAAGAGGATTGCTCGAGACCAGTCTAGGTAGCATAGCAAGACCTTGTCTCTACAAAAAAAATAAAAAATAAGTCAGGCATGGTGGCACATGCCTATAGTCCCAGTCACTCAGGCTGAGGTGTAAAGATCTCCTGAGCCCAGGAGGTCGAGGCTGCAGTGAGCCATGATCGTGCCACTGTACTCCAGTCTGGATAACAGAATGAGACACTAACTCAAAAAAAAAAAAGGAAGGAAATTAATTAATTAATTACATGATTATTACCAGTCACTGCAAAAATAACTAAATTGGTTGTTTTAGGATAACTGAGGATGGGTATAGTACCTAAGTCTACAAAGACAAAGCAAAAATAACTAGCAGACCTTACTCTAGGAAAGACCGAGCAAAGTCACATATGACAAAAGTTACATATATAATGTTGTGCACTTTGTAAAGTGTTTCTTTAGGAAAAAATAAATCCCTCCCCTTTTACCACCAGTCCCCAAACTACTCTTTTCTGAAATTAATTTTTCCCACTATTGGTTTAACAATGTAGAAATCACTAAGTCAGCCAGGCACAGTGGCTCACACCTGTAATCCCAACACTTTTGGAGGCGGAGGTAAGAGGACTGCCTGAGTTCAGAAGTTTGAGACCAGCTTGGGCAACTTGGTGAGATATCCTCTCTATAATAAATCAAAAAATCAGCCAGGCATGGTGGCGCATGCCTGTGGTTCCAGTTACTTGGAAGGGTGAGGCGGAAGGATCACCTGAGCCAAACAGGTCGAGGCTGCAGTGGTCATGAGCGTGCCACTGCACTCCAGCCTGTGCAACAGAATGAGACTCTGACTCAAAAAATAAAAAAATAAAAAAAGGAAATCACTAAGCCCCTAACTACAATAGCATTTGGGAATTTTTTTTTAATTTTGTTTTTTTATTACTATTTACTTCTATTTCCATGTTTAGGGCTGTTTCTCAAATACAGCAAATCATAAAATGGTAGCTTACTTAAAGTTTTCTAAAAAAAAAAAAATCCGTATGCAATATATACTTTAATGTAAATTAACTAGATGACCTTAAGTGTTTAATGGTTCTAAGAGTAAACATTATGTTTCAAATTGCCCAAGTTCCAATAAAAAACTTTTTATCAGTGTTCCCAATGGGGCAAATTCTACACTTCTAGAGCAAGTTAACATGTATTTACCAACTTTTGCTCTATATATTCAAGTCAGTTCAAAATGAAGTCAGGAACATCTGCCAAGATACTCACTTAAATGTTTTTAAACAATGCTCTGAACAGTATGCAGATAGACTGCCCCCATATATATTCCTTAACTTCAACATGGAAGTATCCACTAAAAGTACACAAAAAAACCTAAAAAATGTCCCCATTCTAATTCTTCATGGTAATGATCAACAACAACAACAAAAACCAACCTAAAGAAACATAAAATAATAGAAGCACAGGGTACCTGATCCCAAACCAGAGGAAGCGAGGACCAGTTGGAAGCCTAAACTTCACATGCACATAGATTACTTATGTACCTAATCCTGACTTGTACCCAACATCTTTAAAATAATAATAATAATAGAAGAACAATTTGGAATGAAAAAGTCTAATAGAAACAGAGTGACAGTTTGGAGAATAAAAGCAAAATCTCTTTTAAAGTTCCTAGGCAGTTGGTATTTTTCTTTCATGTCACCTCTTCATATTATCAAAGTGTCTCCTGTTAACATTCCACCCCCTGAAATGTACAGCTGATTAACAAACTGCTTGCTTTTTATACCTAATCTGCTTTCTCCTCCCTAGCACTTGAAAATTTGTCTGTCATATTTTCATCTTTCTACTTTATGTAAATGTAATGTCATGCACATAAATACAATTATGATAATTAGATAGGGTCTATAGTAACTGGATAGGCTTGAACTGATATGAAGTTTCCAGGAAATAAATCAACTTCTGATTCTGATTTCCTTAAATTACTTTCTTCTCTAACAGAATATTTTCCAGGGAATAAGTACTCTGGTTTTGACTCCTCAAAACTTAAAAGAATAATTGAGGTTTTCTTAAACCAAAGCAAAAAAAAAATTTTTTAAGGAAAGAATTTACCAAGGCTTATAAGAAATTTTAAATGCTTTTGATTTTCAAGTAATGCATTCAAGTCTGAAAGCAAGAGAGTACGTGTGTATATACATCACTGAATTTTTTATTGCTAATTTTTCAAAGGAAAGAATCCTTATATATTCATGCATATTGCAGACACATGCATATTCTAGCAATATAAATTAGCTTTCAAAAACATACACACAAAAACAAAACTTTTTTCCTAATTATAAAGGCTAGTTCTTCTAAAAGACCATTAATAATAAACATCTTTGCAAAAATAATACAGAACATCACAATTAAGTACAAAAAATACCCTGGACAGTACACAGATAAACTGCCACCATGCATACTCCCTACCTTCAACATAGAGGTATTCACAAAAAGTACACAAAAACCTTTTAAAAGTCGCCATTCTAATTCTACATGGTAATGACCAAAAGAAAAAAATTAACCTAAAGCAACTCATAAAATAACAGAGGCAAAGGGAACCTGATCCCAAACCAAGGGAAGTGAGAACTAGCTGGAAGTCCAAACTTCACCTGCACAGAGATTACCCACCATGGTTAAGCTTTTCCCTGTAAAGCAACTGACTAGGTACCTAGGACTTCCCCTTTCAGAAATTAGATGCTGCTAAAACCAAAATAAATAAACAAAATACATCTGGAATGGAATTCTAAAATGCGTTAAATATTTCTGTGGTTTCTTAGTCAGAACTCACTGAATAAAATACAAGCATGCCTCAGAGATATTGTGGGTTTGGTTCCAGATCACTGCAATAAAGTAATATTGCTATAAAGTAAGTCACACGATTTTTTTGGTCTCCCAGCATATATAAAATTTATGCTTACACTATACTATAGTCTATTAAATACAACGGCATTATCTCTAAAAAAAAGCAATGTGCATAATCTTAATTTAAAAACTTTATTGCCAAAAAATGCTAACAATCATCTGAGCCTTCAGCAAGTCATAATTTTTGCTGGTGGAAGGTTTTGCCTCGCTGCTGATGGCTGCTGACTGATCGGGCTGATGGATGCCGAAAGCTAGAGTGGCTGTGACAATTTC